TTAGTTCCACGGGCCTTGCCTAATGGATGTCAGTTATCTCCTGTTAATTTCCCTCTGAAAGTTATCCACTGCCTTAACCGGGAAATGAACTCACACTCTTTTGGTCCTGTCACTGTATCTAACCAACACAAGGGTTCAGTTCGACATTCCAACCACCTGAAGAAGGCCAGAGCATATAAAACGTTGTGATAATCATGGCGACAAAGATGGGGACAATAGTCTGAATAATGTAAATAGTGTATCAAAGATGATATCCTGTTATGTTTACAGAGAAGTTTGTTAGGCGACGATAGCGGAATAACAGAGGCAGGTCTTAAAGTTTCTAATTTCTTCTATGACATCGTATATGACCATGAATTTACGACCTGCGTCTACCGTTCCGCTACCATTAATGTTTCATAGCAAACTTCTATGTAAACCTTCTGGTACAACACAGAGAACCAACATTCCTTGTGGGAGATGAAGCTATTGAGTCTACGTATTTGTTCCACCTCATATCAGCGGACAGCTTGAGACCAAGATACCACAGCTACGTGTTCTGCTGGATTTGAGCATCAACCATGCTGATAAGAGGCAGGCAAGTTTCTCTATGGTGCGTAAATGAGAGCAGTTTCATTTGGATGCATCAAAATTTACATGTATATATATTTTTTTATGTTTAACGTTCTTTTTATAGATACAAGTATTTAAGTAAATGCTCTGTTTATAATAAACAGTATTAAATAACATTTACCGGCCTGAATGTCCGAGAAAAGTTTCATAGAAAATATTCGTCCTTTTGACAGGATTCGAACCTGCATCCTATACGGAACCGTCATTTACGCTGACGTGCCTTGACCGCTCGGCCACAAAGGATCGTTCGGTTGGCAAGGTTGAATTTACTGCTTATAAACTTCAATCTTCCATGAATCTCGTACATTCATAACTGCTCATGGCGTATCCAATGTAAACAAATGACGTCATATATATATATCATATATATATATATATATATATATATATATATATATATATATATATATATATATATATATATATATATATATATATATATATATATATATATATATATATATATATATATATATATAGATAACATGGTTAACTGCTCATTTCTGTGTATACTAATTTGTGAGCGTGTCTGATTGATCCCTGGTTCAGACGCCTCCTCAGGCACATAAATGTTTCTTCAACCGCCGCACTGCAAACGTGTAATTTAGGTTGCTACTATGCTAGGCGAACCTTAATTAAAATGTCCAATTACAAATGTCTTCTTTTTTTTTAAGATAAACGCAATCTAGATTGTTTACTTAACAGATAAGAAGGAATTTGAAAAAAAGATTATTATTATTTTTGTTCTATTGTACGACTCCTTCGTGGATTTTTCTTTACTCTCTTTACTTAATTCGAAATGATTTTTTTTTCATATTACCCTTTCAAATTTTATCCAATTGAATTTGAAAATATCTCCCAAAAACTTACCCCTATATCTGAAAACCTAAATGAAATTAAATCAATTGTGATAGGTCCTGACTTGGCATCTCGTCTACATCACTTTCTCACAGACGAGATGTGGCTTCTGTCTGTCTTTCCTACAGATATTTTCACTAACTTCTTTAACGATCTACTTTCACTTGTGTCCCAGCTGCATGAATTTAAGCGTGCTACTCAGTTGGTATATCGGTCCCACCCTTTTACTGTCGAAACATTTAAGTGTAACCGCCTCTTCTACACCAACCGCTTCTTCTCTTACACTTCCCGACAGTGGAACTCACTTCCTCTTATTTCCTTCCCTGATAGCTATAACCTTCAAATATTCAAATGTAGTGCCAATCGACATCTTCTGATGTCTTGATCCTGGTCCCCGTCTTTTATATACTTTCCTCAAACACTCCTCTTTACCCTTTGCACACACTCTGTAATCCCTTGCGTGCATAGTGGCACTCCCGCCTTGCTTGGGGTGAAATGCTTACAAGAAATTATTTGTTGATTTTAGGTTTGAAAACGTAATGACGTGAAAAATGTTTCTTTAAAACAAACCAAATGTTAATAAGGTTCTCTGAGAACCAAATTTGGGACGAAGCAATCAATAGGCCAGTGCACAGCTGATAAAAAAAGGCAGTAGGTTTCAAATAGGCCTCAGGATCAACTTCCCGCGGCTTGCTAATCAGATGCCAATATGACAAACGTATAGTAAAAAAATAAAAATAGCAAAAAAAAAAAAAAGAAAACAGAATTCACAATTTTAAGCAAATGTGTTTTGACAGTCGGCTTTATGGAATTCGACTGATTGTACTGATCGATTTTTGGTCATCGATTAGTTGAGTGGAAATACGCGTTGAATAATTTGTGTTACTCCGTACCTTATCGGTAAAAACGTCACCCTTTGCCTACGATTCAGTTGATCTGCCAAAGAATTTAAGGCTTAACCTTTTAGCGATGAAAGAGTTTTCTCCATCTTGTCAAGACAGAGAAGGAGAGAAAGAGAAAAAACATGCATTATTTTTCTATTTCGATTAGAGAAGGCCCAAAATCTCATGTCAGATTAGAAGCAGAAACACAGATGTGTATTAGTCATGACTAGTATTTTTTTCCAAGTTGACAATTCCATAGACCGAACGAATAAGCAACGAAAGAATCTGAAATAAAATGGTACCAAAAATAGTACTTATATTCAGAATCAAAACAAGGCAGCTGAAATTTCCTGAGCACATCATGAGGATGGAAGGCTTGGAAAACTAAACACTCAAAGGGCATATCGAGGGTAAGAGAGATAGTGGAAAGTTGTAGGCCGGAAATGTTACAAGTTTCTGTGAACCGATAGCCACGAGGAGGTTTTGGAGGGCCACGGTCGTCCCACATCCTGAAGGGACACAGCACATTATAGAAGATGAAAAGGGTGTGCGATGCATCATATACGCTTAAACGATCTTTTGATACATTACTGACGAGGCAGATCCCTCCCCCCACAATTTCAATTTCTTTCTGTGGTTGACCAGTTGCCATTCAAGGCTATAGAAACTGGTCTGCTATTTACGCATAGCTGGAGGGAGAATAAGTGGATTCATACCTTTCCCAAGGGTATTAGCACGTAAGTGAATATAATGGATTCGACTGGAATTCGAACTCGGCTCTCCGATTCCTTCATTATCTATCTATCTCAATCTATTCATTATCTATCTAGTGATTTTCCAAGCGTAGCTTAGATGTGGCACAAGTCCGAAAGTATGGGGCACCCAGTGAGGATCCAACTCACTACTCAGTCGTAATTGTTCTAGCCAGACAAGCTTACTAACCATTACACCACATGGAGGTGCCCCATTATCTATCTATCTATCTATCTATCTATCTATCTATCTGTTCATTATCTATCTATCTATCTGTCTATCTATCTATCTCAGTCAGTTCTTTATGTTCGATACATGATACACTCTGAAGCGAACATGTATCTATCTATCTCAATTTGTTCATTATCTATATATCTATCTATCTATCTATCTCAGTCAGTCAGTTATGTGTGATGTGTGATAGGCGATCATGTATCTTTCGATAGATGACTGACGAGGTAGATTATTTCCGCTTGTAGGTTGCCATTTCTTTCTGCGTTTGACCAATTGACATCCAAGACTATAGAACCCGGTCTGTCTTCACCCATTGCTGGGGTGGGGGGTGAGGATTCATAGTAATGTCACATTAATTCCACAACGAAAAAAACAAATCGCAAGTCCAAATTCGAACCTCAGGAGCAGAAAGAAATGACGAAATCTCCATTCACAGGTCCTATGTGACAAATCCCAATGCAGATAAACAGTCAGAGAAATAACACACTCGTCTACGAACGTGGCAGCAAAATAAACGATTTTTTTTCTCCACAATTCGAGAATACCAACTGCTTTTATCGACATGCCATTTTTCTTTCTTTCGTCGACAATTGGGAGAGAACACGTAATATCATCATAACCGTGATACTTTTATGACTGACCACCTGAAGAAGGACGGAGTGTACAACGGCCGAAACGTTGTAATAAATATGGCTACAAAGATGAGGGCAATAATCCGAATAATGTAAATGGTGTGCATAATACCTCATCTCAGAAATATAGACAAATACTGAAAGGGTGAAACGTTGTAATAAATATGGCGACAAAGATGAGGACATTAGTCCGAATAATGTAAATAACATAATACCTCATCTCAGAAATATAGACAGGTGTTGGAAGACTTTCAACATTGCAGGGCCTATCCACGTTAAAAATCGGAATTCTGACGTTTAACTGGATATAATCAATCCCTTGCCAATACTCTCTTGTCTGTATGTCGATATATTTATTCTCTATTGCGTCTGCCATTACATTACTTCCAGCTTTTTCCATGTAGTTAGATATTCAGCGTGTTAAAGTATATCTATCGGTCAGATGAATGAACTTCAAAGAGTTTGAAAGTGGACATCCAGCTATAGATGTCGGGTCTCTTTTCTTACAGTTCTAGTAAGAGTTACTAACGTTTTCGTCACCCGGACTTCCGAAAAAGTGTCATGAAGGGGAGAAGATACCAAATGAATATGCAACCGTTGGCCCTGTGCTTTCTTGGGATTTCCCACATCGTGAGATCGCTTTTATATGTTGTTTTCTTTTCACAGTAGGCGACCTTTGAGTTTAACGCCTTTTTCTTCGTCTTTCTGGTTTTAAGTTGCCTATCGCTTTGTTCATCTTGACGAAGATAAACAAAATTTTACTCAGTCCAACTATCAAGTTTCCAATCCCTTCAAATAGATCTTTGTATAGTGCCTCGTCAAATGATTGAACATTCAGCTAGATCTTCGTCTTACCTTATCAATTTTTCGAGAGAACGTAAAAGACAACTACTGCTAAATGCTATCTCCCTTCAGGACGTGTGTGATCATGTCTCTCCACAATTTCCTCTCCTTTGTATGTCTTAGTTTGATCTGTCTTTTCCATATCTCTCTTAATTATTGTTCTGCCAACGACACAATCTCGTTAGGAAAGTTATGCACAGCGTCCGTCAGTCCTCCTTGGATTCAATATATTTGAGCCGGGCCTCATCAAATGCTTAAGAGATTAACTAGATCTTCATCTTACGTTATAAAATCTTCGAGAAAATCATGTACTTCTAAGTAGTGTGTCGGATCCGATAAATTATATATTAGACATATATATAGATAGATAGATAGTGATAAGAATGAGATAGATAGATAGAAACACTTTAAGACAGATAAGTCTAAGCAAGTTAAGATATATATATATATATATATATATATATATATATATAGAGAGAGAGAGAGAGAGAGAGAGAGATCGAAACACATTCAGATAAAGAGATAAGTCTAAGAAATTTAAGATATATATATATCTTAACTTGTTATATATATATATATATATATATATATAGATAGATAGATAGATAGATAGATAGATAGATAGATACATACATGCATACATACATAAAAAGAAAGAATGAGATAGATAGATAGATAGATAGATAGATAGGATCAGATAAATTATGTATTAGATATATATATAGATTGTGAAAATAATTAGATAGATAGATCGGATCAAATAAATTATGTATTAGACAGATATATAGATAGTGATAAGAATTAGATAGATAGATAGATAGATAGATAGATAGATAGATAGATAGATAGATCGAAACACAGTAAGATAGATAAGTCTAAGCAAGTTAAGATATATATATATATATAGATAGATAGATAGATAGATAGTTAGAGTGAACCGAGAGATACACGAAGCTATCTATGCTGTTAAACAAAGTAATAAGCAAAACTTCGTTAGGAATAACAAAATTGGATGATACTGAAAGATGCCATCCAAAAATAAAGCAAATTATTTCATTACAAACAAAGAAAAGAGGACGGAAATTTGATGTAATATCAGTCTTCCTATATGACAGTTAATGCTGGACCATCTCCTCACAGAAATGTGATTCTACAGTAGGATACTGAGAATACCAATGACCGAACATGTGAACAACGATGAAATTTTAGAAAAAAAAAAATATGGGGACTTATATTAACATCAGAAAAGTCAGTTCAAACTTCCGGAGTACATAATGAAAAAAAAGAGACACTGGAAAATGTGACGCTCACTGGGCAGATTGAAGGCTAGATGCGAGTAATGAATGGAAGGAGTCAAGCTAATGCAAAGACAACAATTTAAATATCCGACCAGGGTTGTATCACACAACGGAAAACGTGACGCAAAGCATCCGATGGCGTATTGACATATCCAAAAGCTAAGCATCATATTAAAGAACAGGAAAATTTACTCACGAAGAAAGAAACGTGTGTAGAACCGTTTATGTAATATCGAGGTTCCTATATGGTAGGGAATGCAATATAATTTCCTCACAGATTAAGTGTTTACTTAAAGCATGGGCGTCGTGTTAGGGACCTTATCCGGATGTTTAGTTACGTCCACAGCACTAGTTCCTGTTAGAAAAAGTTGCCTACTTTTGCATTCGTTACCGTGGCCGCAGAGAGCCGGCGAACGCGAAGGAACGGCCCCGTATTTGACAGAGTTGTCACGTTCCATTCATCCCGTGTTCTAGAGTAGGTTGATGGCGTGCACAGTCCCGGAACCTCCAATCGTTCTTTTTAACAGATTGAATTGCGACAATCAAATGTCACCCATCCTGAGGGAAACATTGTAGAGAACTAGAAAATAAGCATCTAGATTGTTCTTTTGTCCATACATAGGATGCATATTAAACATTTTATAGACACTTCACTATACGAACTCCTGTATAGAAAGACGTGTTCCTTTTGTATTACACCCTTGTGCAAGTTAATTGAAACAGCCGCTTTAGTTTCCTTTCTTTCACGATACGGTCAGTTTTAGACCCACTGGAGTGACAGGGTGTAATCGATTTTTATTTTTTCCTCAGATTAGTTCATTTGCGGTGGTGTGCAGTAATATGAATCTATTTCCAGGGTGTATGATAACATTTGTTTGCCCTTGAAAAATATTGCGTCGTCCGTGATTGCATCAGATTTTCATCACGCACAGACAGTATTGTCTCGACTGTCAATTAGTTGTCATACGGCCATTGTCTGCGATGGACGTTACTCCAAGGAAGCGCATGAAAAAATGTAACACTGCACGAACACAATGGCAAGCCTTACCAATGAACAAATCAAAGTACTGACTTGGAAACTCTCCTGATTTAAATCCAATCGAGAATCTGTGGTCCATCTGCAAGGAAAGACTTCGTGAAATGGACATACGATGGACTAACATGTGCACTGTGTCATGTTTCATTGAAAAGATATGAAAAAAAGTAAATAATAACGGAATTTTCACAATGGTGTAATACTATAGGAAACTGTTCTTTGACTTGAAAACCTGGATACCATCCTGAAATGGAGTTGACCAAATCTTAATTAGCAACTGATTTATGAAAAGCGACATTACAGATTTTACGAATTTAAAGATTTTTGCGGTTTTAAGTTAAAGTTTTAAA